ATTTGTAGTCCAGTCATGAGTTTTGGTACAACCAAGTTTATTCCGTGATGCATCTTCATTGCGTATGTGGTACGTGGTACATACGTGGGGCGTGGGGCGTGCCATTCGCAGGCATACAAATATCTAATGATCAGCAAACATTGGTGGGATACCCTAACTTCGTTTCAAGCAAAGACGGAGAGATGGGCTCGATCCACTTTCGTCTCTCTGCCTTCCCGCTCAGGTTGGTCGATTCCATGATGGACTCGACTCACGCCTACAGCCTAAAGAATTTAAACCATGAAATGCACAGATCGTGATCGTTAGGTCCAGGGTGTTCTGCTGCCGTTGTGGTTGTTAGTTCTTTTGCTTCACAAGTCCGTGCACCAGCAGTGGAAAAGGAAAAGAAATGCCCGTGCCCCCCCTGGTTAAGAAATGGTGAGAGGCTCTCAATAACCCGGTGTGATTGTATTCTGATCAACTTTGCTAGGAGCCACTCGAGACTGTAGGAGCCAGCCATGCAAGCTTTCTTCGCTCGCCTTCCAAGGCTAAGAAAAGAAAAAGAAGAGGTATGCATAAATAAGCCTGTAGATGCATACTTCCAAATTCGGAAGCATGCAATTAAAACCGTATGTGATCCCAATAATGGGAGGGAGGGAAGAAAGAAACCATCTCCCGAGTCAGGGAGGCAAGGGCTTGGCGCTTTGTTTCCTTCATTTTAATGCTCTCCTTTCATACCACGGTGAGCGCGGGAGGTGAATCGTGAATGCTGACTGGTGAGTCGTGCCACGGCTCAGAATGAGAATTGAGGTCTACGTTCCAACTTAATTGCCTGTGTTTCTACACGGTCGGGAGTGTACTTCATCTATGCAGGCTGCAGTATGTTTCTACATTCATGTATCCGCAGGACAAGTCTTGACTGGAGCGAGTAGGGGAACGCTGCGAGTAAACCAAGTGCCGATTAAAAATGGAGGAGGTAGAGCCAGCGATAGATCTTGTAAGCACATTTATGAGTACGTACACATACTTCGATCCTACTGAGAAGGTGACTGTAGGTGAGCCTGATTGGATCCTCGAGGGCCTCTAAGTAACTATACTTCCAAGCGGCGCGTCTGGCAGCCAGATTCGAGCTGTTGAGGCAGAGTGGGAGACGGAGTGTTCGCGGTTTTCCTCGCCTTGAGCTGCTCTCTCGTGCGGGTTCTGGTCCGCCAGCACCGAACCTGAATAAGGAAGAAAGAAGCACGGGCCAGTCAAGAGGCAGTTTGTGGTTCTTCCCTTCCTCACTGTATCCTTCGGCCTTCTTCCCTTCCCTCGCTCCATCATGAATCCCCCTTTCGAGCAAATCTCTTGAAGAAGAACCAGAGTAAGAAAGTTAAAAAAAGGAAAAGAAGAGGGAGGACGTCGTCAGGTAGCAATGCGCAAGGCCCTCATCCTACGTTCGGTGGTGGCCTTTCTCATCGGGGTTGGCAGTTTGCCAAGTTCAACATGCCAGACTTATGATGAGTTTGAGTTGACACCGGACCAAGCACCTCCAGCGCCAGAGCTCGTTACCGCTCGCAACCAAGCCGACTCTTCACTCCTATGGGGGACATATAGGCCCCAGATCTACTTCGGAATGAGGCCGAGGCTACCCGAATCTATTCTCATGGGGTTGATGTGGTTTGGAGTCCAGGACTATCGGGGCTACGCCAAACCAAGGCACGAATGCAGTGATCAGGACAGACTAGAAGGCTACAGCTGGAAGTACCACGATGGGCGGACTTTTGGTATACAGGAGATCAGAGACGTGGAAAACAACTACCTTCTTGAAACGAGCTTCCTCAAGACGCTACCAGGGAAGGAGGAGCTACTAGGGCAAGGTACCGGGTTGAAAGGAGGAAGCTGGGGTGCCCGAATCTCGGGCACGGTCTTGGATCCACGTAAGTCATATGCTCTCAGTGACATTTCGAGACCATTCAAGGGTGTAGAACTGATTCCTCTGCCTCCCCCCCCCCCCCCCCTCACACACGCACACACCTCACACACA